CAGGCACCAGCTGAAAGCTTTCCCTGGGTGGGGCGAGAGGTGGGGACCCACCCTGGCATCTGACAAGGATATTTCATTGGAGGGCGGCACCTTTCCTCAAGGAACTGCTGCGAAAGAGGGGCCTAGGCGTGTAGATCATGAGGCGAGGGCCTCATGGTCAAGGACAGTCTCTGCAGAATGCCTCCAAGTGCAGCACATCCCACTAAGTGCTGGTCAGGAATCCAAAGAAACAGAAGGCCTGGTCCCTGCCACATGGCGCAAAGAACATTTAGAAAGTCACATTCAGGCAAAAGCAAAATCAGAGAATACAAACAGAGCCAACACAAGCTGGGTGATCTGTGGACTGGTTAAGTCAGAGGAAGTTTCCCAAAAGAAGAAGTTGATATGGATTTTGAAGAAGAGTTGAGTCTGAAGAAGGGAGAAGAGACCAGAGTGTTCCATCTGTCAGTGATGACTCAAGGAACAGCAGAGGAATGGAGGATAAATGACCGCTTCGGAGAGTGGAGAAGGGAGGTTGCTTCAAAGACCAAACTGGAGGGTGCTGAGGTCGACGCCCATCAGAGACACTGTGCTTCAAGAGGGACAGTGCGATGGGAGTGATGTTTGAGGAAGAGACTGTGCAGAGGGCTGAAATGGGGAGTTGCCAAATGCAAGGAGGATGGCAGCGGGGTTGCTAAAGTCACCTGGATGGAGAAATCTGCTTGGGCTGGGACCCATGGCCGTGTGATCCTACTAGCAGCAAAATAAAAGATAAAAATAAGAATTTACATTTTATATGATTCTGTGGTCTAAGATCACACTTGCATATCTAGAATTCTTATAAGCAACAATGAGAATTACTTACAATAATTTACTGAGTGTCTACTATGTGCTGGTCATTGAGTTAACTACTTGGGTGACCTTCACAACCACTGTCTGAGGGAAATATATGGGGAGCCGTGTGCTTTCTACCACTTTATATCACGTGTTGTAAATCGGCTCAACTGGGAGTCTCACAAAAATGCCGTGTGTTAGGCGTGGCAGGAATTATTATCTGCATTTTATCGATGAGAAATCAGATGCTGAGGAAGGGTAAGGCACTGCCAACAGCCACACAGTCACGGGCCCTCAGCCAGCTCGTTGAACCCTTAGTCTGGGCATCCTTACTCCTTACTGCCACTCTGACTTCACGTGCACAGTGTTAACAGAGCCCTGCAGTGTAAAACACCGCTTTGACCTAGATCTGCTGCCCACTTCAGCCAAACACATTAAATTCCCGGCATTGGTTTGCCAAAGGTTAGACCTTGAGCTGGTTCAGGGTCACTCTGCTGAGTCTGGGCCACCTGGACAGTGTCCAAGGAACAGAAGTAGAGGCGAGGGCAAGGGAACCAGCCCTCCCAGTCACCTCCCATCTTCTTTATAAGACATACACCCTCTCCACTTCTCCCGCTCCTGGCTCAGGGGGGCTTCAGAAGGTGGACGACACATTCGATCTGCATGGCATCAGGTTGCACAAGACACAGGCTGACAGAGGGCAGGGAGGCCTCAAGGTCGCCATTAGTTCTTCATGCCAGGATTGGGTCTTGGGAGAGCAAACAGAACGCTGCCTGTTGTTTGGAATTAGAGCAAGCAAGGAGGAGATCCCCGGGGGGTGGGGGGGGGGAGCATTTTCCTAGGCCTTGTCCAGCACATACTCCTGCCAGCTACTCAGGATCCACTCCCCACCCACCTACAGCCTCACAAGCACCAAGTTCTTCCGTTTGAGGTGTTCTTCCCTTTTCCCCCTCAAATCCTCTATTTTCCAGGACCATGAGCTGCTTGTTTCAAATTTAATAACCCACACAATTCCATGGATAATTGCGAGCCACGATGGTTCTTGCTGGTCACACCTTTGGAACATACGAACTTAAGGTATATGTTGTATTTGGCTAAATCCTGAGATCTCTGCTTTAACTTCTACCTGGCTCATCTGCTTCTAAGACTGCTTTCCACAAATCGCAGGGATAGGTACAATGAAGCGCTGGGTATGGGGGAGGGGGTCAGGTACAAACCCCACACAAGGCACCAGGGAGGGATTGGGGGAGGCCCCATGTGCAGGAGCTAGAAGATAGCCGAGGTCTAGGTGGGAAGCAAATGGGCTGCTTCTTAGCTTCAGGCGGGGATCAGGCACTGTATCTGTTCTTATCAAGCTAATGGCTTGACAGGTTTTTCATCTGAGAACAAGACATCAAAACAGGCCCTGACTGGTGTGGCTCAGTTGGTTGCATGCACCAAGAGGCCTCAGGTTCCATTCCTGGTCAGGTCCCTCCCATTCCCACGCCACCCTCTTAACCCAGCATTGCCCTCTTCTCCTACTTTGACTCAAATCACAGTTCTGGCCCTGACCGGTTTGGCTCAGTGGATAGAGCGTCGGCCTGTGGACTCAAGGGTCCCAGGTTCGATTCCGGTCAAGGGCATGTACCTTGGTTGCGGGCACATCCCCAGCGGGGAGTGCTCAGGAGGCAGCTGACCGATGTTTCTAACTCTCTATCCCTCTCCCTTCCTCTCTGTAAAAAATCAATAAAATATATATATTTTTAAAAATCACAGTTCTGTGGTCCAGGGACTATAGGCAGATTGTAGGAAGGAAAGAAACCAACACCCAGCGAGCCATTTATAGTCCTGGCAGCACAGAAGCACAGCACAGCATCGGCACCACTACCTCTTTTCCAGTGGCCACCTAGCATCCAGCTCATGCAGTGGGCAGTGCCTGGATTACCCTCTAACAGCAAGAGTGGCTCAACCTCACCCGTGTTGCCAGGGACACTTGCCTCTCTCCCTCCTGGCCTCTCACCTGGGGCCCTGCAGCAGGGCACCTGTGCTTCTGTCTCATAGGCCCACTTGAGGGAAAGGATCTAACCCACCAACGGGAGGACATCCACCCCTCCGAGGGCCTCAGGCTTCTCCCAGCACCGTGAGGATGGAGACCCAGGGAAAGACCCACTTTGGGGTTCCTTGCACTAGGCAGAGGCTACCCAGAGGGAGGGGACGTGAGGGCAGGATGAAAGGAGTGTGTGAGGGGCCAAGTGCTTCATACAAACACAGGGATCAGAGGGGGAAGAAATGTTCAGCGCAGCTGGGAGATCCGGTTTGTGTCCCAGTCCACCCTCTTATATCTGTGTGGTCTGACACTAGGGAAGTTACTTCCTTTGTCAACTGGAGATAATAAAATAATACCCGCTGAAAGTACTTCTTACAAAACGGTCATAACATTAAATAACAAATATGTAAAAGCATCTCAGAAACTCTGAAGTATCTATAAACAGAGATGGGTTACATGTATATTTTTCGGATTAAGAAAGGAAAAATGACTCATTATGGAAAATATCATGAATATAATCAATATATAAAAAGTATAAAGAAGAAAGTAAAAACCACCTATGATGCTCTACTCATGGTTAGTCACTGCTACCATTTGTATATCCCTTTCAATCTCTGATCCAAAGCACAAGTATGCAAATAAATATTATATACACGTAAGCCCCATCACCATGAGACTGGATTGCATGAACTGTACCCCCAGGGTTTCTTAGGATTTTTATCATTGATTTCATCAGAGTAGTCATCTCAATCTATACTGGAACTTTATCAGTAGTTTAAGTAAAAAGTTTCAGAAACCTACTGTTAACAATTCCTCAGTCCTTTGTCTAATAAATAAGCAGTTATCTGCAACATGGTGCTCTGGAAAAAGCAATACACTAGGAATCAGGAGATCTGAGCTCTTTCCCTGTGTCTGCCAATTAAGAGCACTGTCTAATCTTGGCAAGAAGCTTCTGTGTCTCTGTTTTCCCATCTGTGAAATGGGAGTGATAGTCTATGCCAGCGGTTCTCAACTTGTGGGTCGCGACCCCTTTAGCGGTCAAACGACCCTTTCACAGGGGTCACCTAAGACCATCCTGCATATCAGATATTTACATTACGATTCATAACAGTAGCAACATTACAGTTATGAAGTAGCAACGAAAATAATTTTATGGTTGGGTCACAACATGAGGAACTGTATTTAAAGGGCCAGAAGGTTGAGAACCACTGGCCTATGCCTTGAGGAGCAGATGATATCTCATAGGGGAAAGTGCGTAGAAAATGCACAAATATCCCCTGACGGGAGTGACTGCACCCATCTCTACAGGTAACTATAGTCCGTGTCTGTTAATCCTGATCCCATTTAACAAGTCCCAACAAGGAAAGGCAAAGGCTACCCTGAGAGCCTGCTCATTTCTAGGATGCTAATGTACCATCCCTCGCCGCCAGCCCTTATTAATGAGTCATTCCCATCTAAACCAGAGTTAAAGGAAGTTCCAAAGTGGTTGACGATTACCCCAAGAGATGAGGAATACTGGTTCACCTCCCAGTTCCAGAGTCTTATCCTTGGAGTCAGCCACAGTCTCTCTGAGATCATCAAATCCTGTTTTCCCAACGTGACTCTGTGACAACTGCAGCTGGGCTTGTTAAACATGAACGTTCTCGGGCCCCCAGCCCAGAGCCAAAGTCTTTGGGGGTGGGGTTCAGGGACTCACATGATTAACTGCTCCCTGCATGAGATTCTGATGCACTCATTGTCTAAAAACTGATCCAGTCCAAACTCCCATTTTACAGATAGAAAAACTGAGGCCCAAGTTACAATGCCATGAGTGGCTGAGTCAGGGCCACAGGACCAGAACTCAAATTTATTTCTCAATCTTTCTCTGTTTCTTTCTTTCTTCCCTCTCTCCCTTCCCTCCTTCCTTCTTCCATTTTTCTCTTTATTTCAAAAACATAGATTTTTTTTCCCCCTAACCAGGCAGTTCTGCTCCACGTGGTAACAGAATTCAGATTTCCTGTTTGCATTTAAATAACATTATATATTTTTTCTTTTAAAGCCATAATTCTTTTAAAAATCTGTAACAAGAAAAGATGGTTTGGAACATAGCAATTAGTAGCCATAACATCCATCTGCCAGGGGAAGCTAAGACCTGGGAAGAAGACAGCTGGGAGAGTGGAAGTGAATGGAAAGCAGTGTTACTAATTTATTCATCAAACTGTCAGCAAACAGCCAGCAGGTGGCTGGTGCTGGGAATTCAACAGCACCTAAGCCAGGGTCCCTGCCTCTGTTCAGTCAGCTCACGTCACAGCATCTCTCAGACTAAAAAATGAAACCAATGAGCGAGAGAGCCAGTGCTTGGGCAAGAGGAGTCAGGGGCAGCAGCGAGGGATGAGAACACAGCCCCGGCCCAGCTTTGTCCTCTCCTATGACCAGTCCCCTTGGCTTTCTTCTTCCTGGAGGGGAAGAATCTGTGGTCCAAGGGTCAGATACAGTGTTTTTATTCCCAGGCTGGCCACATGCTTGGTTCAAGACCAGAATCCAGGATGGGGGTTGGGGAGGAAGGATGTTCCCAAAGCATCAGTGCCCCGTGTGCTGGGGACAGACACCCAAGAGGCAATGAGCTGCGTTCCCTGACAGCCTGCAGACGTAGCTGACCACGCAGAGCCAATAAACATCATCTCCTTGGACTTTAATAAGTCCCCACCTAGTTTGAAGGGGTCCCCACTTAAGCAGTCCTTGAGAAACTTGGGAAATATGGCTGCGTATGAAAGTTTTATTAAGCAGGATGTTGGAGGCATTAGTGGTACCATTCAGCTCCTCCCCCAAAATCTTTTTTGGCATGAATTTGCTTTGCCCTAGGTGATTTCCAACCATTCTTGTCTTCTTCCTCCTCTGTGTCCTAATCTCAGTGACCCTTTAAAATCATATAACATCCTCCAAAGGGACTTGTGCAGCTTTGAGCAGGGGTGTCAACGGGGACTTACATAAAATCTGGGGTCGAGGGAGACATAAAATGATTTCTGCAAAGGCCACTTTATGTTCCAACCTAAATGTTGAAAACGTACTAGCAAAACCATTCTTAATAGATACATGCCAACTGATTACCTGAAAACATGAAACTGCCTTACGAAAATAAACTCTGTCTTCCACAGTCCGTTCATTGTACCCCTCAAGTGCGGTCCAGGCAGAGGGGGAAGCACTGCGAAGGCAGGTGGAGGAGCAGAACCTGCCCAGTGGGCTCAGAGTGGGAAAAGTCCTGTGGCTGCAGCACAGGGACGTGAGGTGGCGGAGGCTGAGGACACTGCTCAGGGGTCCTGTCTCCGCCCTCAGACAGTCACCTCGGAAACCCACAGCTCCCCACCTGCAAGAGGCAGAAGACAGAAAACCACGGCTGTTGACACTCACTGTGTGCTTCCTAACTGCAGAGCACCGTGCTAGGAGATGTCCTTGCATTCCCTCCCTGCATTTCCGCAATGACTGCACAAGGAAGGCATTATTCCCTGCTTCACAGATGAGCTAGCTAAGGTGGGATTTAAACTCACCCCACCGCACACACACCCGGGGATATAAAGTACAGCGTAGGGATTATAGGCAATAATTCTCTAATAACTATGTATGGTGTTAGGTGGGCGCTAGACTTATTGGTGGGAGCACCTTGTAAGTTTTATATGCATGTCTAACCACTATGCTGTACACCTGAAACTAATATAATAGTAAATGTCAACTACAATTACAAATTATTTTTAAAACAAACTCAGACCCTCTAAACTCCAAAGCCTATACGTTTAAAAAACACACACATCATAGAGAGAAGATGAATATAAGTATCTGTGCCTATGAAGACAAGAGCATGGCTCATGGTTTCCCATGTTTATGCATCTATTTTTGTCTTTGAAAAAGCATTTATTTTTTAAAAACATACAAGCTCCCTAGCTGGTTTGGCTCAGTAGATAGAGCATTGGCCCAGGGACTGAAGGGTCCTGGGTTCGATTCCAGTCAAGGGCACATACCCCAGTGGGGGGCTTGGTCCCCGGCCCTGTTGGGGGCGTGTGCTGCAATCAATGTGTCTCTCTCACATTGATGTTTCTCTCTCTCTGTGTCTCCCCCTCCTTTCCACTCTCTCTAAAAATCAATGGGAAAATATCCTCAGGTGAAGATTAACAACAACAAAAGTAAAAAACATACAAGCCGTACATATTTAATACATTTTTATAAAAGCCAAACAATTCAGAGTGACTGGAATGAAAAGTAAGACTTCTCCTTGACATTCCCTATATTCAAAAACATAGATGTAACAAAAGCATATTGGAGAGAATTTTTAAAGAGAAAATAAACAACTATCCCTCCACCTCAATGAAACAACTGGGAGTAAATTAGAATATTACTTTTCAGTCTAGTTTTGTCTGCACTTGGGGTGTTTGTTGTGTGATATACACTGGACGTATTTTGCAGCCTGCTTTCCTCTAAGAATGTCAGGGGCATTTTCTATGTCATCTGCCTGGTCTTCTTATCCCTCGGAGTTAATGCCTGGGTGACATGTGAGTCAGAGCCATAGTTTGCTTAACCACCCCTGACTGCTGAGCATTTAGATTGTTTCTAATTATTTGCTGCGATTAAGATCTCCACGCATTTTTTTTCTTTCTATGGTTTGGATTATTTCCCTAGCATTCCCAGAAGTTGACTTACTGGGTCAAAGGGTGTGAACATTCATAAGGCTCTTGATCCATAGTGCCAAATTGTTTTCCAAAAGGACTGAACCGGTTTTCTCCATTTGGAAGTTTGCTACTTTCTCTGTGTGAGTCGTTCTGGGGAAAGGCTTTGTTTAAGTCTTCTTACTCTGTTTAACCCAAATCACTACATTATACTTTAACTTTGCTGTTTCCTACAGCCCCTTTCAAAGTCTGTTGACAATGTTTGACCATTTGATTACTGGGTGGAAGATTTATGCTGGTCTCCCTGTCTCCAGGCTCTTCCTGCCTTCAATCTGTTTTGCACACTTCAGCCAGATTAATTCTTTTGCAAACATCACTTGCCTTCTGTCACTGCCTTGCTCAGTAACTTGAATTGACTTTTTATTTCCTCCAGGATCAAGTCCAAACTGTTCTACTGGGCCTTGAAGACCCTCCATAATCGGGTCCTACCCCCCTTCCCAATTCCTACCACCCTCAGCAGGAACCCTCACTCACTTTCCTTCTAGTCCCCAACTTACGCTCCATTTGCTTTCCCCTTTTGATAATGTTTTCTCCACCTGGAATACTCCTACCTCTTTTCTATCTGGTCCAAATCCTCCACTTTCAGGGTGGTTCAGTCCCACCCACTCAGTTGAGAATTCTGAAAGAAGAGCCATGGAGGGAATGTGGTGGGAATGCCATGCATGCCAGCAGGGCACCCCCACATTAAATGTGCCAGTGGGTTGGCAGCAGATATTAGAACCAAGGCAAAATTCTTTGTACATGTAGGCTGTTTCTAATGGCCTAAAGAGGGGATCTGTGCGAGAGCGGGATTGTGAGCTAGGGCTAATAAAATAATGATGACAATAATAATTATAGTATATTAGTTAGGATTAGCTTCACTTTGAGAAGCTAAGACCTGAAAAATAATGGTTTAATATGAGAACAATTAATTTATATTTTACGAAAAAAAAATCTTCAGGAAGTCCAGACCCAGAATGGCATCTCCCTGCTCATCAAGGACCCAAGATCTTTAATGTAGCTCTCTGTAATGCCATCGCCAGGGTGTGGCCCCCACATGCTCCAAAAAAGCAGTTGGGGCACCAGCCATCACATTTAGAGTCCAGACCAATAACAGGCAGAAGGATGAAGAAGAGCGTCTCCTCTAGTTTTTTTAAGAATAAGTTTTATTGATTTTGAGAGAGAGAAGAAAGGAGGGAGGGAGTGAGGGAGGGAGAGAGAGAGAGAGAGAGAGAGACTGAGAGAGAGAGAGACAGTGATGTGAGAGCAAAACATGGATCGGCTGCCTCCTGCACACCCTCGCCCAGGACGGAGCCTGAAATCTGGGCATGTGCCCTGACCAGGAATCAAACCGGCAACCTTTCAGTGCCCGGGATGATGCCTGACCAATGGAGCCACACTGGCCAGGGCCAGAGTGTCTCCTCTATTTAGGAAACCTTCCTGGAAGTCCCAGGCAATGCTTCTGCTCAGAACTCATTGGCTTAGTCTCAGGGCTGCGAGGAAGTCTGTAGGCTCAGATAAAAATCAGGGCTATGTCACTAAAGAAAGAGGGGAACAGATTTCCAGGCACACAGCTATCGGTCTGTGCCACTATTTGTTGAGGTGCTGTGTTAATCAGCTTACATCTATTATCTCTTTTCATTTTTATATCAGTTCAACAAGCAAGTACATCGTAAAAAGGAGAGTAAAACCTGGACTATGTCTGAGTCCAGAGCCTCGGCTCTTTTAAAATTTTTTTATTTTTAAAAAAAATAAAATGGAGACTTAACGATATAAAAATCACAAAATAATTGGAAAATATCTTTTTTTCCCTTGACCACACACACACACACACACACACACACACACACACAGAGCCTCGGCTCTTTTAAAATTTTTTTATTTTTAGGCTTCATGGAGACTTAACAATATAAAAATCACAAAATAATTGGAAAATATCTCTTTTTCCCTTGACCAAACACACACACACACACACACACACACACACACACACAAACACACACACACACACACACACACAATCTTATAGTTTCTGAAATTGCATCTCATCATACAGAACTCATTGTAGTCTCTCCTTTAGACTGTATTTACTTATATATTTTTGGCATATGGTAGGTCTTATTTGTGAAGAATATATAAGACTTTATAGGTTGTAAAATACAGGCAGTTCTCAATAAACAATATTAAAATGATGTTTGAAAGGGAAAAATAATTTATTTTTGAAAACATTCAATATAAACAGTTTTCACAAATGAGAGGTTTACTGAAATAATTGTGAACGTGAAAAAGGTAAAAAAGATGAAATGCTTCCTCCTTCGATTTTTATTGTGTTTCGGTTTATTACTCCAGTTTTCCTGTAAAACAAATGAATGGAAAGATTGCCACATAGAGAACCTGGGCAGGTTTGCTAATGCTAATTTTGTGACCAATTTGTAACTATGAGTCTAGGAAGCATGAACTCTTGGTGGAGTTGGTTGGAGAGGCAGGGTAAGGGTGAGACAGGATGGGGATGTGGGTGAGTGGAGAGCATATTTGATTACAAAAGGAAAGCTGTTTGAAAAAAAGGATTTCAGACAGAGATTGCAGACAGAGAAGGAAGAGAGAGACTAGGTTAAAAAAGCACAGTGGTCATGGAATGGGGGTGATGGGGAGGCCAACTGGAATTAAAGTATTTATAGATAAGGCAGTCTCAGATTTGCCTTACTGGCTACCTTTTGCTCCTCCCAAACTCCCAAAGTGAATTATACCCAAGCACTGCAGCTAAAGAATGATCAGGCCCAGTAACTGCCAACTCTCATCGTGTGCCCTGCCTTCTGTGGCTGTGTGAGCCTGACTTGTAAAGGAATCTTGCATTCTGGAGGGGTGACTAAGGCTGGGTGTTGCTGAGGAACAGAGCCAGGGAAAACACAGGGAAAGGCTAGTTCCTGGGACATAAGCAGCTTGAGGGCAAGGAATAAGTTTCATTCCATGCTATATCCCCATGCAAAATGCAGTGCTTGGTTCATGGTTCCCTGCACTCTTATCCACTGAAGTTTTTATTGGATGGATGAATGGATGGATGAGGTCACAAGCTAAGAAGGATCCATAAGCACCTTCCTGCTGGCCTTTAAGATGACCAGTTGGGAATGTCAGGAAACATTCTATGAGAAGCAAATCCTGCCTATTTCATCACATGGCCAACTGCAGGTTGAAGCCAGTGGCTGGTTATGACAATGTGGTCTCTGGTGTGAGGTTCAGAGCCTTAAATGGCAGAGACTGAGAAATCACTGAGATTGGATAAGGTAAGGACTTTGTTCTTTCTGTGTCTCTTTTTGCCTTCTTCCACACCATTTTTTGACCCCTTACTAAGTCTCAGGCATGGTCCTAAATGCTATCCATGCATGATCTCATTTAACCTGATATTTCAGGGAGGGAGACATTAACATCTCCAATCTCCAGATGAAGAAACTAGAACTTGAAGAGGTTAAGTAACCCATTCAAGGTATAATAGCTAAGTGGGAAAGCAAGATGCCAACCCAACTTCCCCTTATCTTCACCACTCCACTCCCTGCCTCTATCTGCTCCACACTGTCCCCATGTTCTTACTCAACATGGTCACAAAACATATTTTATCTCTTTAACATTTTATTATGAGATTGGGGCCCAGTGCACGAAATTCGTGCCTGGATGG